TGAATCGTCTGTTGTCACGAACGTAAGCATGAACGTTGTCTTTCAGATCCTTGGTGATGACCAGGGCCCGGATTTTGATGACATGTCATCTTTTGTTCCTTGTATCCTATGCGATGCTCTTAAATATATAAATCTCGGATATGAGCTGCTGGTTACAGAAATGTAAATTTTATAGGTAATTTTTGTCATTTTTAGGTTTAAGGTCTTTTTTTTTCCATTTTTGAGGTAATTTGTTGGTAAATTTTTGGACTTTGAAGGGTATTTCTTGTCATTTTTGGCCATATTAGGGAATTTTTCTTCATATGTTTTCTGAAATGTGAGTAACATGGAAGCGAAGTGTTCTTTCACCTTTAGGTCATTTTTATGGATTTTTCGGGCATTTTAAAAATATTTTCAGGTCATAAAAATCCGGGCCCTGCATATTACATTTTCGGCTCATATTTTAGGTCATTTTTCTGGATTTTTTCGGTCATTTTATAGGTCATTTTTTAAATATTTTCAGGTCATCAAAATCCGGTCCTTGTTGATGACAGACGGGCGGCCAGATCGCGCTTCATTGTGCATATCTGACCTTCCCCCATTAAACAAACGCACCACTGATGCATATTGCCCTCGTTCGTACACCTTTCTTATACACGTCGACAAGTTGGAGATGGATATCGGCAGGACGAATGTTCTTCGCGTTCTACAATCGAATCACCGAACGAACCTCACAGTCGGCGGGATTAGTGATTGACATGGTTCTTTATAAAGCACTGTGACAAAAACAGACTTTGTGGTTTTAGTCGGCAAGCGAAATATACCGACCGAGCTGCCGCCGCTTGTCGGCGAAGTTTGTGCCAAATTTAGTGGATAGAGGGTGTCACGTGATCAGCGCAACGAATCCCCACGGCCTTTAATTTCGGTTTTCTAGACCGGAAAGCGCGGTGACACATCAACCAATTCACTCAATGGCAGAGGGTCTGACGACAGCTCTCGACCTTCAGAAATCTCCGGTCAGTGGCCTGCGCGGGCAGGGTGCGCAAACGGTTCTTACTTCTAAAAATGAACTACGTACTTAGTACAAATATTATGTTTTTGGACATCATCCATCTTCTTGTCTTTATCGAAAAGCCGTCCTCTTTATATTTCAGAACACAACGTTTCGGAGTGTGGATTCTGTCTCCGTCTTCAGGTAAAACCTATTCAATTGGACCCAGTCAATAGAGGTAGACCGAATCCGGACCAAAGATAGGGACTAGCTCTATCTATTGGGCCCAACTGAGTAGGTTTTACCTGAAGACGGAGGCAGAATCCAGTCTCTGAAATGTTGTGTTTTGAGAAATAAATAGGACGGCTTTTAGACAGAGACTAGACGATGGATAATGTCCAGGCATAATATTTGTACTAATGTACCATTGTCACTTACTTTTAGATCTTACCTACGTACTCGCTTTTACAGCATGATAGGTTCACTTGTACACCTGGAGAAATAACCCACAACAATACTAGTAATTTTCCCCCCCTTGAGAACTGACGCTTAGTCATTTAACTGGCCTCAGCTACCCTATTAGATGACGTAAGTCGGATAGACGAGCAAAGTACGAGTACGAGTACGTGAGAACCATCACCAGGTTTCGGACCTCTACAGCCAACACATGCTTTAAGTGCATGTGTACCGAGAGGGAGTGCGAGTGTCCTCAGACGGAACGTAGAGATTGTTACACAGTTCGCGAATGAAGGTCTGGCATTCTCACAGACAGCTTTAGTGGTCGACTTGGCCTATGTCCGGAGCCAGGGATGAAACACACGAAGGTTTAACCGTTCTCAAACTTATATACGATTGCCCTCCATTGGACATGATACTGAACCAGTTCCATCTGCCTCAGATCCGCACACCCTAGCTCCCGAATTACTCATCATAATATGCTTCTAATTGCACTTTTACAAGAGGCTTCCTCCTCAACATTCTATAAGCATTCTTTGCCTTCGACATTCGAGTCTTATTCGCAATATCGGAAACCTTTAGGTTTCACATTATAACATTATTAGGTGACCTGTATAAGTCTGGAAGTGCCACAGTGTGTAATGTCTTAAATTCACCATTTCGTCTCAGAGCTACATAGGTTCCGGATCTGTCTGTTTTGAGATATCTGTAAATTATGTTGTACCCTCACAGTAGGAAATCACTTTCCACATAAAAAAATAAAACGAGCATGAAGGCAACAATTTATAGTTACATAACGCGACTCTCATTGTTCGGAAGATATACTGGAAGAGGACAGAGTGTGGACAGAATAATACACTCTTCAGAAATTTGTTCTTTTCCAAATTTCATCAGGAAGACCATTATTTTTATTTGTCTTTTTAGATACTTAATAAAAGTATGATTTTTTAATAGTTCCTTATTACCAATTCTTTTTTTCGTATAATAGTCAAATGTATGCACTTTGTGAGTTTTTTCGTATAATAGTCAAATGTATGCACGTTCTAATTTTTTTCGTATAATAGTCAAATGTATGCACTTTGTGAGTTTTTCGTATAATAGTCAAATGTATGCACTTCTGAGTTTTTTCGTATAATAGTCGACTGTATGCACGTTCTGAGATTTTTTTTGTGTAATAGTCAAATGTATGCACGTTCTGAGTTCTGTCTGCTACATACAGTACGGTCTATATCTGCATTTATTTACTAGTTTGTAATATATTTTTACTTTTGTTGTTTAAAATGGCTTCCAATGCATTCTTATATAAACTCAAATAGTGATTTAGGGGAGACCCAACTTGACGAACGTTAATGTACATTTATTTTTAAAATACAAAGTAAAATGTTCATGTCGTCATGTTCGTACTTTCCAGTGCACAGGAAAATCATTCAGATGGTGCCAGTTATATAAACTTCAACTGTAACAAATTTTACTCTGACCACTGTAGGTATTTGTAAAATCGGGAAATACTGCTGCAATATTCGTTTTCTTAATTTAAGCGAATCTTGTCTCAATAAATTGGCATTCCCTGCGGGGCCGGAAATACGAATCCCGGTCAGTAGTACAAATACATACTGTTACGTTGGGTAGTGAAATGCAGAAGTTATGATGGGTCAGATATCTAGCTCGAATGGTGGAGAAGGAATGCATGTCTAATTTCAACGAGACACCTGGAAGACCGAGGAGGAACTGCATAATAATATTCACGTGGAGGACTGGTAAATGAGTAGTGACGAGGGACGATGCATTGAGTCTGCGCAGGATCCTGCCCAACGACAGACGGACTTTCCTATTAGCGATGTTTAGTCTATTTGGGTAGGAGTTTACATTATCAGTTTACATTTATTATAGTTGGGGCACTATGCTACAAGCCGGAAGGTCGCGGGTTCAAGTCCCGATGTGGTCATTGGATTTTTTTCCAGTTTACCTAATCCTTCCAGCCGCACTGTGGCCCTGGGGTCGACTCAGCCTCTAACAGAAATGAGTGACAGGAATATTCTTGGGGGTAAAGGGCGGTCGGCGCGTAGGGCTGACATCCTTACCGCCATCTATGAGCCGATTGTCTAGAAAATGTGGGCACCTCAACGTCTCACAGCCCTATGGGCCTCCACGGCCTGTTACAGGGATAGCTTTACTTTACTTACTTTTTTTTATATTGCTAGTGGGGTGGGATTTAGTCCCTTGTACTGCGGCCACTTCTGGCCTACTGTACCAGCTCCAGATGATAGGTGAGGGTGATTGTGGAGCAATTGGTGGAATGAAGATTGGCAGGGGAAACCGAAGTACTCGGAGAAAACCTGCCCCAGCGCCACTTTGACCACCACAAATCCCACTTGACCAGACCCGGGATAGAACCCGGACCGCTGTGGTGGGAAGCCAGCGACTGACCGCTTGAGCTATGACGCGCCCCCAATTTGTTCATATAGTACCATAATCATAGGCCGCGCCGTAGGTCAAGCGGTTAGTCGCTGGCTTCCCACCGCGGCGGCCCGGGTTCGATCTCGGGTCTGGTCAAGTGGGATTTGTGGTGGACAAAGTGGCGCTGGGGCAGGTTTTCTCCGAGTATTTCGGTTTCCCCTGCCAATGTTCATTCCACCGATTGCTCCAAAATCACCCTCACCTATCATCTGGGGCTTGTACTACAATAGGCCAGAAGTGGCCGCAGTACAAGGGACTTAGTCTCACCCCACTAGCAATTAAAAAATTAGTGCCATCATCGGAAGAACTTTTGTACAGTGCAGATTTTCTGTAAGCTTGCCTTGGTTTTGTATGACATAACATAAAAGATTATGTCTCTTACCATGTCTCTTATTGTGAACTTACAAAGAGTATTACGAACAGATTGAGTAGATAGATGCATCCATGGTCTGTCTTCGTACCAGATTTTACATTCCTATCTCCTGTGGATCAAGCCATCAGTCAAATACAGATTTCATGAGGTCGCCATCTTGTTTTTCATTCTACAGGAAGTTACCATAATATAAATTTGCATTAGCGGGTCCCCGGTTTGAAATGTCACTGGCCTCTTTGGCAGCTTCATGGCTAGTTCTCACGAACGAGAATGTCATGGCGACAGTGATGGCCTTGCATTCTCTGTACAAAAAAAAAAAAAAACTTCGTTGTTTTAGTCCGCAAGCTAACTATACCGACCGAGCGACCGACCGACGCTTGTCGGCGAAGTTAGTGCCAACTTTAGCGGATAGAGGGTGTTGCGTGGTCAGCGCAACTAATCCCCACTGACATTAATTTCGGTTTTCTAGACCGGAGCAGCTATTTCCTTGAAATAGCGCCTCAGTTATCCTCAGGAGTCTGAGTGGACTCCGTTCCAGACCCACTACTTCTATGAAAATCTGGTAGCGCCAGGAATCGAACATGGACCTCTGGATCTGTAGCCAGGAACTCTGACCAGTAGACCACAGAAACGGTCTTGCATTCTCTGTACATTTCTAATAACTCTGAATTTCGTGTATGTTGGCATGAACCAGGGCCGAGCCAAAGGGAGGTTTTGACTTATTCATTTAATGTTCTGTTGCAGATAGCGGAGCTTGAGATTGCTGTGAGAGGCATAGTGGCTGCAGGACACAACTGGACTGACGTCTGCGCCAGGTATGCACTCAGATTAGAGCTGCGCTGCGTGTATCATATTGTCACGTATTCTTGGCTTGCGTGACTGATAATATTGCGTTCTGGATTAGATGAATTAGAATTATTGAATACTCATAAGTCGTAAATACAAATAATTATAACATTCTAAAGATTACTGTCACAATAACAAAAAACAAACTGCATGGCCTGTAGTCCGCAAGTGAACTATACCGAACGAGCGAACGTCGCTTGTCGGCGAAGTTAGTACCAACTTTAGTGGATAGAGGGTGTCGCGTGGTCAGCGCAACGGATCCCCACGGCCGTTAATTTCTGTTTTCTAGACCGGAGCCTCAATTTCATCGAAATAACTCCTCAGTTATCCTTACGAGGCTGAGTGAACCCCGTTCCAGACCCACTACTTCTCAGAAAATCTGGTAACGCCGGGAATCGAACCAGGGACCTCTGGATCTGTAGCCAGGAACTCTGACCACTGGACTATAGAGGCGGTCCATAACAAAAAATAAAGTCTTCAGCGTCTGCTTGATAGTCGTTGCTTGTTAACGAACCTTATCTGGTTAACACTTCAATCAATGAATTGCCTTCTGAATTCTCTTACGATTGAATCTCTGACTTCTGTCTCAATCTCTCACTCTGCTCGAATTCACGAATGCAGTGCCTTTTATAACTGTCGAACAGTTCTTGTGTTCTGTTGTCGCGGGAATACTTTCGTTAACATTCGTTGAATGGGAAACAAGTGTTTACCTAGCCGTTGCCTAACAAAAATTACTTCCGCTTCTGCTCTTATTTCGGCTTTTAGGCAGTGTTTATATAGCCGTTACCTAGCAAATGATCTTATTCCGTCACAATATGATCCTGTATGTCGCTCGTTTGATTTATATAGCAGGCGAGATAAGAAAAATGGCTCAGTGGCGTGTCTTCTAGCGCTGTATAGGGTACGGTCACATTACAAGCGAATTCGCGGAAATCTTCAGTTTATGAGCATTATAAGTGGTTATACACGTACAGTAGAAGCTAATTCTTCGCTCGAATAAAGGCTCCCACACACCAGAGCGATGGCGGTGGCGGTCACGGTCACGGTGGCGATGAAGTCTTCTCACACCAGCAACGCGGTGGTAGCAATCAGTTTGAAAAATCGCGTAAGCACATCTTTAAACGATGCATCGATTATCTCATCTGGAAGAAGCGTTACTTTTGCCAGCGGTAGTTGATAATGAGGAGCAGCCGCAAGCAAGGTAATTATTCCTTTTATTATGTACAATTGGAGAAATTTGAGAAGTTATTACACATATTAACATCACAATTAATATATTTTTTTTCAGAAAGAAGCGTAAGAAAACGTGAATTCACGACCTTAATCTGCTTCGTGAACATGAAGGAGAATTTCATACTTTATATCGGCAACTGCGGCAAGATGAAGAACGATTCTATATTCACTTTTCGGATGCCAGTTGAATGCTTTGATGATTGACTGAACCTAATTAAGGGAGATATTATGTAATTTTACTTCTTCAGTATGTTGCTCTGTTGTTGTTCTCATTGTTCATGCTAACAGACAGCGACGCGGGCAGCGGTCAAACTCTACAAGCTGCATCTGATCCCCACCGCGGAGTAGAACGCTGCACTGCCCGGAACGCTGCCTATCTGAAAGCGTCCATAAGTTCAGCAGGAAATATCTGACCGCCAGCTCCATCGCGATCGCTCTGGTGTGTGGGAAGCCTTTAAGCTCCATCATTTGAAATCGATTATAGGGGAAACAAGTCCCCCCTCCTGCATATGCGGCGAATATAGAGGGACTCGAAAATTGTGTATTTAACGAAAAAGCAACGTGGGACCTAAAGAAATGGGCATGAAATTATGTGCTCGGATTGGAAACTGCATGATCCAGACCCACAGCTGGTAGCCAGAAACCTTTAAAAACAAGCGAAAATAATGTAAAATACTTTAATGATAATTAATGCTGACAATGAAAAAATATATTCAGGCATATACATATTGTTGTGCCCCAGGTTATTAATGGGTATGCTTTATCCAACAAGGGGTCAAATTTATGTTTTATTAATTAGAAAATAATTATAAGTTTTATAAATTGAAATACGTCGGGCGAACCACAAGTTGGAAACCCGCCGGAAAGTAAAGTTAAGACGCCATACATTCTTTAGCCATCCGGTGTCAGATGTACAGTCTATAGAAATTGCTGACAAATTAAGTGACGACACGAGGTAGTCTCGTCACCGCACAAGTTTCCGACCTTAGGGGTTTTGCGCGAGCAGCCTTTCGTGATGTTGAATTTTGAGGGGCTCGGACGGGAGGAGCCGTGAACACACTGAGTCGCTCTGCACAGACGTAGACGGAAAGGAGACGGAGTGGCGTCGGTTGTGTTCGTTGTCAGCCACTTCTGTAAGCGTGAGTAATTTGCCTGTGTTCGGATCACTGTTTTGCGAGATGGGATTTCAGACGTTAGCCAATCAGTAACGAGAAGAAACGAAGTCGGAGCTGTTGGTAATTTATTTTCCACCCACGAAACAGAAAATCCATGCCGGGGACCGTAATGGTACGTACACAGTAGCGAGCGAATCTCAGTGTCTCGCTCACATCTCGCGAGTTGTTCGCGCGCACCGTCCACATAGTGTTAGCCATCTGCTCGTCCACTCATCTATTATGTATGCACACAGCTGTGAATGACGACTGCTTGCTACGCTGCTGTGGATCTTACATAAGCAGGAAGCGCTGTGAAGAGCCATGTTATTCTGGCAGAAGAATTGTGCGTACAAATATAGTGGGATTAAATCTGCTGAAATATTTAATAATGGGAGAGTCAGGTGGTTTCAAAAATACTTTTAGGATATCATCTTATGATTTTGAATGTTTACTGACAGCCATTGTGCCCAGAATAAGCAAACAAACCATCTACAGAAGCACTTTCCCAGTACATGAAAGCGTAGCTATCACGTTGTATTCTGAAGGGGGTCTCCTGCACTAGTGGTAATGTGTCTTTGCACTGTACCGCAAGTTTCCGTTTCTCATTAGAGCACATCAAGAAAGCGTTCAGATAAGAAAGTGTCGTAAATTACCGGGTGTTAGGTAAGGCAAAGTTGTTCCTGTGCTTAACTAATTAAGCACTACGCCATGAAGGCTTTTGGGGAGTGAAGCTATAGATCCATATTTTCTTGATCTTTGCACTAGCTGGAGGTGAGTGGTCAGCTTCACGCCCCTGCCGCTTTACCCCCGGGGAAAGAGCCCAAGGTACCCTTTGGGTAGGAGACTCACCCAGCCTCAGAGCCGTCTTGAACTCGTCCAGCCCGTAGCTAGTCGCTATTGCGCTCACATCCAGTATTAGGACGTTGTAATTATCTGTTATTACAGAGGTATAGAGCGAAAAGTAATTATTGTAAATCAAAACGTAGTAAATTACATTAGAGAAAAATATGTCGATGCCTTGAACCGGCTCCTAAGGTGGTGAGCTTCAGATTACCGGGCCTGATCATGTCGAACTAGGAGATACATCGCGTAGACTCTACGCCAGGCATGTCAAACTCAACTTGTACAGAGGACCACCTCAGCCCTATAAATAATAGTCCAGGGCCGCACTTCAAAATAGAAATATACATTACACTATTTATTATTTACGAATAATTTAAATATAATTACCTAAAGTGAAACGCTTATATTTTGCCCACAAATCAAACATGTAATTTTACCTTCTATTTCACAACAGAAATAAGCGATTTCCCATTTTCCTTGTAAAACACGGTGCTCACTTTCAGTAGTTCTTTTTTTGCTACTTGAATTTTTTGAAAGCGACATTGCCCTTTAAAAGTTACTGTACAGATACAAGAAAACTCGTAGTTGATAATTTAATGTTTAATTATAACCTTTATACGTTCATCACAATGTAACATCAGCACGTGTCGCTGTGTGAAAATGAACTGAATGACATTGTACAAGAGACAACCGGACTAGTAGGTCTTGTCTCAGTGGTCATAAAAGTGAAAGTTTGCTAGCAGCCCACTAGACCAAGGGTATCCAAACTACGGCCCGCGATGTGATTTCATCCGGCCCCCGAAAGAATTTTGCAGAAATGCGCCAGTTGAATTAATTTTCCATTTAGTACTGGTAAATGTGATTCCGAGCTTAGTCACGTGACATATTATACTGCAGTTCGATGGCTTAGCTGTGGAAAGGTTCTTTCTCTCTTCTTTCAGCTCAGGAATGAAATTGATATATTGCTTACCGAGAAAAACCATCACGAACCACTTTTATCAGATACCGAGTGGCTTTGGAAATTAGCATTTATTGCTGATCTGGTGAACCATATGAACCATTTGAGTTTAAAGTTGCAGGGTGAAAATAACTTAGTCTGTGATTTATTTGCACTTATTAAGGCATTCAGAACAAAGTTGATACTTCTGGAAAGCCAAGTGAAAAATTGTAACTTTGTTCATATTCTATACTGTGCAGAGTTGCATAAAAAGGGTGAAGCAGAATTTCCTTCCTCGTATGCAAATTTAGCCATTTTAGATTTGATAGAACAATTTCGGAAGCGATTTGCTGATTTGGATTCCAATGCTCAGGAAATTAGATTGTTTCAAAATCCGTTTGACTCTGATGCTGCAGATGTCCCAAGTCAAATTCAAATGGAAATTATTGAACTTCAGGAAAATGATCACATTAAAGACAAATACAAGGAAGGAAATTTGATCGAATTTTATAAATTTCTGAACTCTGAGCAATTTCCAAATTTAAATAAATTTTGCTTGTAAATTTTTGGACGACATATCTGTGTGAACAGACTTTTTCCCAGATGAAGTACATCAAGTCGAAATACAGGGCAAATTTATCCGATGAACATTTAAAGTCGCTACTTGTGATTAGCGTTTCAAAATTTGAACCTCAATTTAATCATATTTTTGGAATGCAAAAAGAGTTTCTTCATTCACATTAATTGTTTTATTATAATTTGTGATGAAAATATGAGGATTTGCTGCTACTGTCTGTTGTCA